AATTTAAATACAGATTTTTTTGAATGTATATTGCAGGATTAAATTGAATGTATATTGCAAGATTAAAGTGAATGAATATAAATATATATTTATATTAAATTGAATAGATGTGATGTTTTAAATTGAATGAAATTCAGGAGAATTAATATTGCAACAAATGGACAGGCATACACGCATGCGATAAAACCCTGTCTAGACGGCCTGGTGTCAAGGATAATGATTGAATAATATTTTTAGGATATGATGCAGTAAGCCATTGTACATTTTTCGCATTCCTTATCCGAACCAGGAATCGCAAAAAAATTCACCAGAGGTTTTTCCTTTTTCTTCGCGCGTTTTCTCGCATTTCGCGTTCGCCGAACCTAAAAAAACCTCTGGGCCAGGGTAAGCGAAATTGTATTGCGTGACAAATCGCTTAATATTATTAAGTTAATTATAAAAAATGCAGATCAGGGCCGTAGCTAGCATGTATAGTTGGGGGGGGGGGGGGGGGAGTGTAGGCCAAAAATTTCCGAATGACAAAAAAAAATTCCGAATATTTCATGGCATACGAAGCCACGAAGGTGTTTGCTATCCGGAAAATGAAGATGAAATTTACAAACAAAAATACACATAGTTTACGCAAAGACGTATTACAGAAGCATGCAGTGCCGTAGGAAGCTCTTTTTATAGGGGGCTGGGAACGAGGACCAAGAGAAAATTTTTAAGTTTAGACTCTCTGAAATGCTATTTCCTGGACTTTGGTGAAGTTTTGACAGAATTCTGATGGTCAGAAAACAGTGTTTTAGTATGATATTTGTGATGTTACTCTGAGTATGCACCCACAGCGGGCAAGCTGAAAAGTTTGCTTGGCCAAGGTGGGAGTTAAACCCGTGACCTTTGGGATACTATTTCAAAGCTCTGCCAACTGAGCTACGTGCATGTCAAGTCGGTTCGTGTTGTTAATAGAGTTTTAGTATGTCGAAATTTACAATTTGCTTACAATTTAGTAGAACTAAGTGGACGAAGGCGTATTTAATTAACTATATATTGCAGGAAAGAGTATGGGTAATATGATTCTTTGCGGTTTTTGTCCGCTTAAAATTAACTATCCCCTTATGAGTAAAATTTTGATCTAGACCAGCCTGGAGAAAATTTTCATCACAGCTTGAAAGAGTATCACAAAATTAGTAACATTCCGAAGTTTCGTTGCAAAATGTTGTAAAATGCGGATAATATAGCCTTGCTAAGTTTGCCTTTTTTCAGTCATTTTGCCTACAAACGTGAATTCTAAATCTGATTATCAATTTCCCGTTTGTAATGCAAAATAAATTACTGAAAAACGGCAAACTTCGCAAGGCTATATTATCCGTAATTTACAACATTTGGCAACGAAACTTCGGAATATTACTAATTTTGTGATGCTCTTTCAAGCTGCATCTGATGAAATTTTTGTCCAGACTTGTCTAGATCAGAATTTCACTCAGAATGGGAAGGGTCTATTGTAGAGGTGTGCAAATCCGATCCGAAACCGATCCGATCGGATTCGTTCGGACTTCGGAACCAAAATATTCATTTCGGATCGGATTGATATAAAGTTGTTTCGTAGTCGGATCGGATCGGACTTCGATATCCGAAAAAAAATGAATTAATTATCCAGCATTAATTATCCATGCATTTATCAAAGTATCATCGCGGTACGTTGTCGCTGCATTATTCGTTTGATCAAGTTCAATTGGACGTCACTTTGTAAGCTTCTTGACATGTATTTCTTGCTTTTATATTTATTTGGTTAAATATTTCAACTTGAATGAGAAATTTATTTTATTTAAGAATTCTTCGGATCGGATCGGATTGGAATTCTTTTTCAAAACTCTGATCGGAACGGATTGGGATTAGACAATGTCGGATCGGATCGGATTTTAAACATTTGGCAATTGTCGGATTATAAACATCCGATCCGATGCACACCTCTAGTCTATTGACAGTATTTTAATGGTATATTA